GAAATTTTTCAATTTCCAAATGTATATAATTTGTATGTAGGCACTCCTTACAAGTTTTTACCTTGAAAAATGACAAAAATTGATTGTATCCTCATTAATGGCAATTGCATGGTTGGAAAATTAATAAAAGTCGTGGATCACATTAAATGTGTAGTTGAAATGAATTTGATAAAAAATTAATTTTGTAAAATGGGGGCCAAATTTGTTTTTACCAATTAGGAATGCTAATTAATAGTCATTAACTAAATTGATGGATTCGGAGGTTTCACTTTACCACTTTAAGCTTGTTCGGGAGATATTTTTTCAAGTAAAAAATATTTTTTTAGAGAACTTGTGAAAAAAATAGAGAAAAATTATAGGTCATATACAATGCAGTAAAAAAAAGCTTTCGGGATTTATTTTTTATTTTTTCAGAAAATCTCTCGAAACAAAAAAGAGAATAATTTTTAAAAATAAATTAAACAAATCCTAATTTTTGAACAATTAAAAATTTTAATTTACGTTAATATATTATAAGAAAACGTAGGATAACAAATAGGCTTGGCCACGAAATAAGCAGCTGACCCACTGGGACTTTGCAAGCCCATTTTGATTATATAAATTGGGTTGGTGAATTTCCTATTTTCTTTTGTTAACAAAATTTTAGTTTCATCTTCTATGTGTGACTTCATGAATATGAATACTCTTTAACTTTTCTATAATAAATGCCTATTTAATTATTTTTAATACCGTTCTAGATTTCGAGTAGTGATCGAGCTACACACACATCTATATAACCTCACTTAAGAATAGGTCGAAAGGTTGTAGATGGAAGCGTGTGATTACTTTACAAGGATACAATTGAAAATTACTTCAAATTATCTAATTTTAATTCTAATGTTTAGTATAAGAACTTAATAGTCTTGCACTCCTTTATTCCGACACACTATAATTTTTATGTTAATTTTTAATTTATACATAAACAGTTATCAAATGAAATAATTTTATTTTATTTTATTTTATTTATTATTTTTTTTTTTTGGTGAAGAAGTTCTAACAGAACTGCACAGTATAACATCAAACTAGAGGCCCAAAACAATTGTAACAATACAAACGAAATGGGGCAAAGACAAGAGAGCAACAACATAAATTGTGGATTTATTTATTTATTATTTATTATTATTATTATTATTTTTTTTTTTTTTGTGTCTTCGCACCTCTTCATCTAATTAATATTAGCTTTCAATTTTTTATTTTTTGCTTTATCTAGGTAAAATAAATCTGTCTCGTTCCAAAAAATGTGGATTTTTGGGTTTCGACATCGAAATGTAATATACGAAATCGAGATACAAGTCCCCAAATATTCTACACTGCGTTGGAACTAGGAATGGTAATTGGGCTTGCCGGCTCAGGTCACCCATGACTCGGCCCGAAAAAAGCCCTAGCTGGTTTAGCTCGATGCTCGGGCCAAGCTTGAGCTGACCCGTTTGGCTCGTGAGCTTTTTCATTTAAAAGAAAAAAGAAAAAGAAAAAAAACTATAAAGGCAATAACACGCTGCCTTTATATTTGGCTGCTGCCTTACTGCTGCAAAGGCACCAAAAGGCAGCACTTGGCTACCTAAAAGGCAGTCGAGTGCATTTTTTAGGTAGCATTAAAAAAAAAAAGTAAAAAAATCGAGTTTGCTCGGCTCAGCTCGATAAGGCCCGAATCGAAAACTTAGGTCAAGCCTAGATTTCTTGGCCGAGCAAAAGCTCGACTCAGCTCGGGCTCGTTAAAAAGGACTATTTTACTTGAGCGAGCCCGAGCCTCGAGTTTCCACTCGACTCGTTGACACCACTAGTTGGAGCTATACATGTTAAATATGTTTGTTCATATTTTGAAATACTCGTCGTGGAAGACGAAACTAAAATAGAATAATAAAGAGAGAGATAACAAGATATATTGGTCTCTTGACCAACAAATTTTTTGTTGAGAAAAATGTAGGGAAATCTGAATACTTAATGAACTCTAAGACACGAAAAAACGTTATCTTTTAAGAGATATTTCTCCCATATTCAATAAAGTCACAATTGGGGTATGATAGAAAATCTTTCTTAGGATACAATGGAGACGTTTGATTTAAATTGTGACTATTTGATCAAACCAAGAAGACACTCAAAAATAACTGATTGATGCCAAGAGAAAGAAAGAAGAATAATTTTTTAATGTGTTTTGCAAACGAGAATTCGCCTAGAATTTATAGAAATTGAGGCAACTGTTTGAATAGGTGTGTCCCTTGAAATCCTTGCGTACATCTACTGGAAGTGACTGTTAAAAACGAAGAGGTCGATCCCCGTTGCGCAGCGGCAAACACTAGTCGGGGCGGCAAATCATTCGCAAAATAAAAATAAATACATGCAAAATGATGAAAAATATCTAACATTTCTAACCTATTAATTGGCAATAAAGAGAAAAAGAAAATTATTTTTGGTATGGTGAACCGTGATCAGAGATCAATAGATAAAATTTTGGAAGAAAACAACGTAAAAGTATGCATGCAACCGAGAAATAAATTAAAATTAAAAAAAAAATCGAATTGTGATAATTTAACAATAATTGAAAAAATATGAAAAAGTTAATTAATTAGAACTTCTGCCATAGAATAGAACCATGATGTGGTCAGTAGCTGTGGAGGAATGGGGAAGCAAAGTCACAAAATCCCTTTGACTCCATAAGTTATCCCTCACATGCTGCAACGTCAAGAAAGGTTGAAGCTCTTGCCCTTTACATCTTATTTCTATCTGAAGAAAGCATAGACCAAGCATTTTGTCAGTTAATTTGTTACTATTTTGATTAAATTAACATAAACAACATAGCACATAGCAATTTCAAGCACGACATATGACACAAACACAAATGATTCACATTGACGTTTCCATAAGCTATAGCTAGTAGAGAGGTACAATCGAGCTCTTTATCACCAGCAATGAGTTCTGAAAATCCATTGCGTCTGCTATTTGTTTAGACATCATTGTTGAAATTTGGATGTGATTAGAATTCTTTGTTAAAAATAATTGAGAATTCTAATTAAAGTGCACATTAAGAGAAATTCTATTTGGAATGCTTTTAGAATCCTATTTGACAAATTGTAGTTGAAGTTCTATTTAGAAGTCTATTGGGAGTTGGAATTGGTATTGGACTTAAAGAAATTAAGATAAGGAAATTTTTTGACATTTTATTTCATCTACAACTCTACTTCTATAACTTGAATTGTTCCCTATTTATATTTGTCTCTTCTCTACAATTTAATTAAATTGTTTAACATCATTATAAGTTAGAAACAATGTAAATAAATAATTTTTGTTCTCTTTCTCTATATTATAATAAAATCTTCATCTTCTACAAATTATTTTCTTCTTGTGTTCTTGTGATCTTTTCGTCATATAATTATCTTAATATCTTATCTTTTCACAACAAATTGGTATTGGAACTATTCTGCTTTTAATAAAGTGGTTCTAAATTTGGTCAGATTCATAACAAGTGGTATCAGCGTGATTATGTTAATTTGTTTGTTTCTAGTAAGTGGTATCAGAGTTGAGGCTTAATTCTTGGGAAGATCGAGATTGTTCTTTTCCATGATGGCAACTATTAAGTATGATATTTCGATATAGATCGCAATACAAGATTCTCTTTGTGGTAAGTAAAGATGTAAGCAGTATTTGCTCAAATGGATTTGAACGACGCTTTGTTGGGATTTACAAGATGTCCACAACTTGGACTATAGAGGAGAAACAATGGAGGGATCGTAATGCCCTATATCAAATACATCTTTATCTTTTCAATAATATTCTTCAGGATATTTTGAAGAAGAAGTCAGTCAGTGCTTTATAGTTAAAATTAGAGCAATTATGCATCATGAAGAGCCTCACTAGCAAATTTCATTTGAAGCAAAATCTATATTCTAATCGTATAATAGAAGGTACATCTCTTAAGGATCACCTAGTTGCTTTTAAAGAAATTTTCACTGATGAAGAAGACTTGGGATTGATTTTGTTGTATTCATTGCTCGCCTCATACATGTCTTTTAGAGATACTATATTATATAGTCGTGATACTTTCACTATTAAAGAAGTCTGCGATGTTCTATATTTAAAAGAGAAGATGAAGATCTTGTAGCATTTGGGGATCACGGCAATGATATCATGGCTCATGATAGTCATCTGAGGGGGAAGACAAAATCTAACTTCAAATTTCGTAATTGTTGCAAGAAAAATGGACATTTGGTAAACAGTTGTTATAAGTTGCAGAATAAATCGAAATCAATTGCAAATCAACAATTAGAAACTTCAGGGGAAGCAAGTATTGTAGAAAATTCTAGCAGTAATGAAGAGCTTCTACTTATGTTTGACTACAACTCCAAACCTGACAAGGATTGTATTTTGGATACAGCTTGCACTTTTCACGGCTCCTAATCGGGATTTGTTTTCAACATATGAAGAAGTTTCAAAAGGTGTTTCATGAACGGTAATAACACACCTTGTTGGATAGTTAGTACTAGTTGGGTCAGAATAAAGATGTTGGATGGGACGGTTAGAACACTTGATGTAGTGATATGTGTTCCAAGTTTGAAAAAAAATCTTATCTCCTTGAGTACTTTTGATTCAAAAGAGTATAGGTACACTGTTGAAAGTGGAGTTTTGAAAGTTATCAAAGGTTCCTGTGTTGTTTTGATAGGATATAAAAAATTCCATTTATATATCTTGCAAGGTGATACAGAATTTTTGAGTAATCAACATATTTTAAGAACTCATGTGGATTTAGAGTTGTCTTTTATACCATTGGAGTCTTCGTTTAAGAATATATCTAAGTTAAATTTTGAATATATGAGTAAATCCGTCTTGCCACCATGATCGACAGTGTTATCGTATTCACTTGCTAGAAATAGACCAATTTTTTGCCTTAAGATTCTATATAGGTACAACTCTGTTGATTTTGTTGAAGTTTCGAATGCGATTAAGAGTAAGGTGTTGATTCTAGCCAATATCCTTCTTTTGATGCATTTAGTTGAGATTCCGTTACATGGCTTGCATCGGCCCTGTTCGGTGGTCATTAGATCACTTTTGTTCTAGTTGGAGTAGGAAAGGTGGAGAATATTTTTCTAGTTGGAATTATTGATGGAGAAGTTCATTTGTGTTTTTCATTAAAGAGTTCAAGTTTATTCATTGTAGTGAAATTTGTTTTCAGGTGGAGAATTTTTTCTTAAGTTTTGTTCATTGTGGTAAAATTCGCGTCAAGGTGGAGTTTGTTAGAATTTGGTGTGACACGAATTATTTGTTGAAGATAATTAAGAGTTCTAATTCATATGCACCTTCAGAAGAATTTTATTTGGAATATTTTTAGAATCCTATTCGAAATCTATTTGACAAATTCTAGTTGAGATTCTATTTGGAAACCTATTGGAAGTTGAAATTTGTATTAGATTTAAAGAAATTAAGATAAAGAAACTTTTGAGCATTTTATTTCATCGACAACTTTACTTTTAGGGCTTGAATGTTCCCTTATATATTTGGCAATTCTTTACAATTTAATTAGGGTGTTTAACCTCATTATAAGATAAAAACATTGTAAACACATAATCTTTGTTCTCTAATTTGCCATATTATAATAAAATCTTGATCTTTTGCAAATTATTTTTTTCTCGTGTTCTTGTAATCTTTACTTCATATAATTGTCTTANTCCCCCCCCCCCCCCCCTCTTATTTACACAAGTTTTTTCCACCACCATGTCTCAATTTCTTTCTAGCTACTAATCTCATTCTTCCCTTATAATCTAAATTTGCAATTTATATAAAATAATTCACTTTTCCTACTTAGCTTGTCTCCATCAACATCAATGACTTTTCCACTTTAAACGATAAAAACGTTTAAATGAAAATATCAAATTTTGATTGAAGAGCAAAATATTGTTGAAACGAGCGTTCAAGAGAAAATGATAGATTTTTTTTTGACCTCACATTAAAGAATATTTGGCTTTGCCACTGCCTAATTTCTTCGAGAATTCGTTATTGGATTAATTTATCATCATGTTCGGCTTCAAAAAGTTAAATCATATTCATAATTTATTTGGATTTATGGATAGAAAGTCAAGTTTAAACAAAAGGTTTTAATTAAATTATACATATCCACGTATATGTATATATATAAAAGTTAATGGCATTTGAAACAGACATATACTATGGAAGACGTCCACCCCACGATAGTAAACTACTATCGACTTTAATTATATAAAGGGACCCATTTAGACTTTGCTCCGAAGCCAACATCATTATACCATAGACTTAATGTTCCAACAAAATATATTAATTAATATATATGATTAAATACAAAATAAAAGAAAAGGGTGCGACACGACACATTAATATATACATTTTCTTTGCTTCAACATAATTTTGCCTAAATTTTATAAATTTATAAACCGTCACACTAACGTCTTTCATGCACGTTTCTTTCTATCTTTAATTAAGAAACCCTAATTTTAAGGTAAATGTAAATAAATATAAATATATATATATATAAAACTTAGGCGGCAAATTATCAACTTTTTAATTCCGTCAAAGTGCACCACTTGCTTTTTGATGGACAAGTTCTTGTTCAATAGTGTGAAAAGACAAGAAAGGGCCTACACAAGCTGCTAAAGGGCTGATTTAAAGCAATCGAAAGCATGACGAAACCATTCACCAATCCATGCACATAATATATACACGCACGAACTACTTATATTTAATCTTAAGATAATTGCGTAATTAATTATGGAGGGCCGAAATCAATTAATTTTTACACCTTAAAGTCAATGTTATGATAATTAAGAAAGAGAAATGCACATACCTACCCTTTTTGCTTTTATTATTACTCACGGATTGTGAGAATAACAATCATTATATGTATATATAGGGGGCAAAAAAAAAAAATTATTCCTAACCTTGATTTGATTTAAATGGTGTACATATTTTAAAGTTTGATATTTTAATTCCTACCGGCCAAAAAA